CACGGTCATCACGACAATGAGGAAAGATTAGCAGAACGTTTTATTATTATTAACGTTGTTTCCGGTTGCTAGGAGAAAGCGGCGCTCGTTATTCAATTTACAAAATTACATTATTATCAATTAAGATATGTGCATGTATTCGGATAGTGGGAAAACAAATTGGATTTTGTAAAAACACACAATATATCCGACAGTTTTAATTGCTTTTTGTGTCTTTCCCCGATATATATATATATATATATACATATATATATAATTATATATATATGTATATATATATATATATATATATATATATATATATATATATATATACACATATATATATATATATATATATATATATATATATATATATATATATATATATATATATATATATATATTGAGTTTATTACTGATCAAATCTATATAATTATTATGCATGTGCAACTTTTGTATAACGTGAAAAGTTTAATTGCGCAGGTTTAAACACGCTGCAGTTGTTATCTTTTATCTGTCAGCTTTGAGATGGATATGCCCAGTGCCAAGGAAAGTGCATGCGCGTAGAATATTGTTAAGGATGAGGAAAAATCCCATAGAAATTTAGTACGAGCTAGGGCATGAAAGAAAAGCGAAGAGCAGCTGCTGTGGGGAAATGTGGCTGAGTGGGAGACTTTATATAAAGACACACGCCGCCAGTGACGTAGACAGCCTGACGATTTTGTCCCACTATGTAAATTTCGAGTTATTATAATTATTCATGTCTTTAGAAATTTATTGTTTTCACAGTCAATGAACACCAAAATATCATAGCATAGCGGGACAAATCGTCAGGCTGGCTACGCTACTTACGCCGCGGATCATTTTTTTTTGCTCATACATGTCTTGAAATATCGGCGTTACTTTAATCGCAAGAAGAAAAACTTTTTCTTCATTGTACCATGTTGAATATTCGGCTGTTGAATAGCCGGTTGTATCAAGCCCGTTTAGCTTAGACGGCGGAGAAGTCAAAATTAAATAACACTCTTACATCTCTCTTGAACGAGTCAACTTGAATATTATGCACTATGTAGTTGTAAACAGTATATTTGTAATAAGGTTAGAAACATTTTGTTTGCTTGTTGAATAAAACGAGAGACTTGATTTCTATTTTGAACTTATTCGCCGTTTAGGCTAAACGGGCTTGATACAACCGGCCCCAGATGATTAATAAACCACGTTTAGAAGAAAATATTAAAGCTATCCAGCTGATCTAAGGTAAAGAATTAGCCATATGCTTTGTAATATTCTTCTAAGTTTGCATGGTGACATCAATAAGTAAATTAGTTTGTAGGTACATGTGCGTGCTGTAGGCCATTCAAGTTCTTACGTCAGTCAATTGTGTTAAAAATGTTGCGCGGTCAAGCATGTAATAGATTACGTCATCAAACATTTAACATTTTTAATTTTAACAGTGAACATTTTTAAGTATCGATCGATTGAGCAGAAGACCAACTCGAGTAGTGCGACAACGTCTTAAACAAACAAGATATGAGACCTGGAACGAGTTTCTTAGACCAACCCACATTTCTAACTTACAACGCTGATTGGTTGGATAAGGATCAGCCCACTCTGGTTGATGATGTCTGCAAGTTTCCCTCAACCGTTACTATAAAAGGGTGTGCACAACACTTCAATCTTCAGTGGACTAGCGGAGTAATCGTACAACCGACGTGTTCTCTTTATCTCATATCGACTCTTATCTGATATAATATATAGCATGCTTGCACAGCTGTCAGCCCGCTCATCACTGTGCTGGCGCGTGCAAAAGCCCAGCAACTGCGTCAATGAACTAATTTCACTTGGAAATTTCCAATTTTACTGGGGTAAAATAATTATATTCGAGAATTATTATATTCGAGAACATACCGAATATAGTGGGATTCAAAGTGGCCCAAATGCTATGTTATTTACGTTCAGGGATTGCGGACCATCTTTAGGTGGAGGGAAGGTTAGTCCCCGAGCCGGCGCGAATCGCCGTGCGAGGGTACTAATCCCGCCCGGAGATTAGGAATTACACCCGGTACACCCGGGTATTCTGACAGAACATTGGCGAATCCAAAGTTGCCCAAATGTCATGGACGTTCAATGGTCATGGTAGTTGTGCGCATGCGCGAAATTTGAACGAAGAAAGAACGTCGTCTACAACTTGCTGATTGGCTAAGACAAAAAGAGAGCATGCATGAGAGCGTCAGCATTTTAACCGTCATTTTGCAAACTATTTTTTAAAAATATAAAATGAAATCATGGAGTCAAATATTAAAACAGTAATAAAAGATTTAAAGATCATCACAGCACAGAAACAGTTAGCGAAAGAAGAACGACTCGTAGTTTATAATGTTTGAAGTGGTAGGTGTCTATATTTTGCTTATTCAGTGTTTGCTGTAAGAATGCATTGTTATTTTGACAAGTACGAGCTTTGTATGTCGTTTTACAAGGAGCTAACCGACCGTTCAAGGCTTTACATCATCGCCTTAACTTTTAAAAGAGTTCTCAAAAGTGTACTTCAGAGTATTGATAAAACTTTGCAGCTTATATAGTCGCTAAAATCATTGAATAAAATAAATAATCACAGCATTCGACGTCTAGTGCTTGTATGGTTATAATAATTATTTGTGCTGTTTTGATGTTTTGAAAGTTTAGCTATATATATAGAAAAGTTTAACGCTCACTTAAACTGCAACGTAATGCAGCAGGCAAACAGGTGATTTCTGTTCATCTTTACGACTGTCTTTTTTTCCGAAAAATTTGCATGAGTTATTTCATAATATTAGCGTAGAAAGTTAGGTCTGGGTAGCGCACGAAATATTCTACTTCGTTTAAAATGGCGAGGGATTGCTGCATGCATGTATTTCTAGTATTCGTATGTTCGCGTTCTCTCTTATTCGCATCCCTTTAAATTGATTTCTTTCACAGTCTTTTAACACAAATATTTGAATAGGAGATCCTCACGTAAAAATCTTTCGCGGCCCTTGATGTTGGACGTTCAATGGTCATTGTACTTGTGCGCACGCGTGGAATTTAAAGTACCGAAGACTGGTAATTTAAACAAGTAAAAAAACAATTACCTGAAGACAAAAAGTAGTATTTCAATGAAAACTCCGCAATTTATCAATTTTTTTCCGTATGAATGCACTGTTGATGTTAATAGCGTTCATTCTTTTCATTCTGACTTAAGGTACTCGTGATGCTAGTCTTTAAAGGGCGGTCTGTTTTCCCAATAAAGACAATAGATTATTAATTGTACTTGCAAAGTAACCGGTAAAAAGGTCTGCGTGCGCGCCAAATTTGCATGTGAGTGTGAGCGGGAATTCTGAACAGATCAATCATGCATATTCATTGATAAAATATAAGTTAAACGAGCATAAAAATTTACAAAACGTGTAGACTAGGCATTTGTTGAAAGCGTTCACAGCAAAGTGCGAACACTCATGCAGGTTTTGCTCTGCATGCGGTGAGAAAAAAGCAGCTTTTCAATGAGAAATCATTCAACGTAATGACGAGCAGCAAACCATTGTAATATGACGATACCATAAGGACCTAGAATTGTAGTGGCTAATCAGTATTAGTGCAAGTAATTATATTGTTTTTAATGGCATTCGTTTTTAATGAAATTTGGGACCGGTTTTTGAAGAAAAAATCTTTTTGCCGTCTTATTATTGAGATTGAGATTGAGGTTTATTCGAATTGCAATTCAATTGAGGTTTATTATCCAAATTGTTTGAATACTATAAACGAAGACTTGTTGAAAAGATTATAATAAGCAAATGAATAAGAAATACGTCATTACATGCAGCCGTAAGTGGTGTTTTTGAGTGAACGCAAGCCGAAATAATTATGCGATGGCAAATTAAGACGTATTAAACTTCTGGCCAAGCAGGCCCAAGCCATGTAGCTTTTATTAATGCTAGAACTAAATACACTGCTATTTACTTTTAGCTCTGTGGCATGTATACGATTAGAAACTATTTTAAATTACAATTTTAAACTATTTTGAAATCCAATGAATAAAGTGATTTCCTTTTAGACACTCATATGTACACAACATATCCGTCGACACTTTCAAAGCGGCTGGTGACATTACCGCTGCATTGTCTGTGTTTTATTATCGTGCAAAAGTCGTTATTTATTTATAATAGTTGGATAAAACTTGAATATGTTAACTTCCCAAAAAATGTAAACAAAAGCAGCGTCTAGAAGGATCTCTTTCTTGACTCACTCTTTAACATCAACTATATTAATTATAGTCATTTCCAATCCCTCTGTTTTAGTTCGTGCAATAATGAAATGTGAACAGGCGTCCAAATTATAGCCTTTTGGAGTTTAACTTTATATCTTCGTTATAGGCCTTCTACCTTTATCGTAATTTTGCGTGTCAACGTTTGTTACGTAACTTACGTTCGCACTACTTTTCAAAGGGTTTTCAACAAGAATAGATGCGGTTTATTTTAAATATAATACTCAACTACAACTCAACTTAATATCTCAACTCATTTGAAGCGGGTACATTCAAAGGCCCGTTTACACTACATTCAATTTATTGGCACGGCACGGCTAAAATGGGTACCCGTGCTTATAGTGCTTGACCTTTGTTTTGGTAGCCTGAACACTAATAAAATTCAGCACGGGTACCCTTATAGCCGTGCCGTGCCAATAAATTGAGTGTGCAGTAAAAGCAAAGCACATGCACTAATGGAAACGCAAGCAATCAAGGGGATCACCTGCAAACTCAGTCACTCTTTGACGATCTTATTGTAGTCATTATCAATCTTCATGTTCATTTTCGTGCAGTGTACGAACAAGTGCCATAATTATGGTTCTTCTCAAATATACGTCTTCACTTGTGTGTGTGTGTGTGTGTGTGTGTGTGTGTGTGTGTGTGTGTGTGTGTGTGTGTGTGGGTGTGTGTGTGTGTGTGTGTGTGTGTGTGTGTGTGTGCTTGCTGATGTTTTGAACTAGAATATGTGCGGATCATGCGGATCAGTTTAAATATAATACCTCAACTTTGGCCGGGGTAAATACAAGGCTCCCTGCAAGGAGCGATTGTGTTTTGCTTTCTCCAAAGAAATATCCTGAAGGGGGCTGATAGGTAAAACCAAGATTAGCGTAGCACTCATAAGTTTTCTGGGAGTTTGTTTCGTCCGCAATTGAAAAATCAGGACCAGTGCCAAACTTAACGGCAGATTTTTTGTTTCGCTGTATTGCATTTTTGTCACTCGAATTTTTCAAAGGCGACTTAAATGGTGCGAGGTCATCGTTATTGCGAAATGAAAACAAAAATGAACCTGGAGCAGGCCCAGAACGGCCTTTCGCTACTGTCCACTCAGAATTGGCAAATCCACCAAATACGAGAGGCTTTTCATTTTTATCAACTTTTACAACCGTCAGCGTCGGAACTTTCGGGTCGCAACGGTTATGAAATTCTACCACATTATAGCTTTTCATATCGTCTGATGTCGCTCTCCAGCAAACACTCCAATTCCCGGTCTGTGGCAACCAATCTCCCAATAGTTTTGTAAATTCTGGAGCCTCACCTGACAATATGTCCGAATCGAATTCGTGAACTATAAAAGGTAAAAATAGTTTGACTTCAAATAGCTTGGAAACAATGTCACGTGCGTATCCTTTACAGTATGAAAATTATCTCAAAAGTTCTTGATTAAACTAAGGGTACGTTTCTATGTTCGCAATTTCCTCAATAACTACTTACATCTCAAAGCGGCGCGTAGTCTGCAATATTTGCAATTATATCCGCTCGCCTTTTAGATGGAAAGAAGCTTAATCATCCTCCTACACCAATATCTATTTGCCACCCCCCGATATCTTTAGAGATATTCCTCTCAGGCATTTTTGATATGCAAGGCCGTTGCTAAAAGCGGCGGGGGGGGGGTGCATATTCATATCTTCATGTTCGTACGACCGTAGAAACAATAGCAAACAAATTAAACCATCCGGGCTTAAGACGAATATTTTTAACAGTTATTCCATAGCTATAGGAATTCCAATGAATGATATTTGAGTAATAAAACTTAGTCCAGTTGCGTTGTGAGTTGTGAGACTGACGTTAAGGGAGTTATTGGGATTTCTATGCATGGCCATAGTTATTTCACGTACCGTTAAATACTTTTTTTTCAAAGTTTGTCGCCCTTTCGGTGGGCTTTGTCTTTGGTGTACTTTTATCAAGGAAAACGTGAATATCATGGTCGCTCAACTCCCTAAATCTTGCCGTAATTTTCTTTACGTTTCTCTGCTAGACAGATAGCAGCTAATATCTGTCTAGTAAATATCCAATCAGATTGCACATTAGCTCATATCCTGCGCTTGTGTATATAATAAATCAATATGCACCCCCACCATTTTTAGGCTGCTAGCGACGGTCCTGCTGATGTTTTTTTTACACCTTCGGCATCTGTTGATGTGCATTTAGTTTCCAGACCGAAACTCTATCAAAACCTTATTCATCCCGGGGATCCGAATTAATGCATGCTAATGAAATAAAAAATTGGAACGCACGATTGGAATACATCTCAATATAAATGGTAAAAAAATTATGTTTTAAGGTAATTCTTTTTCAGGCAACTTCGGTCAAATTACGCACTAAACTTCACCCTAAAATTTTTTTTAAGGATCATAACTTCAATTTACGCAACAATCGTGGGCAAAAAGTATGATTATTTTATAGAATTTTAGGCAAAAAATTATGATTATTACTCCTGAAATTAAAAATATTTTGTGCTCAAAGAACAAAGTGGATTTTTGACGTTGCGTTTTAATACCCCGACTTTTATAAAAATGTTGAATAAAATAATCTTGCCTGAACATGTTGTCCCATTTCCTGCAAATCCTCTGCGACAGTGACATTCGTAGGAGCCAATAGTGTTATTGCAGGTTGCGTTTGAGTGACATTCGTAAGTTCCAAGGGAACACTCGTCAATATCTGGAATGAACGATAAAGAGAAACAAGTTAATGAACTTTAATTATAACATAAAAGAAATTCTTGCATCATTTGTAATGACAGTGACATTCGTAGGAGCCAATAGTTTTATCGCAGGTTGCTTTCGAGTGACATTTGTGAGTTCCGAGGGAACATTCGTCAACATTGGAAAATAACGATCTTGTTGAGAGCCTAGAACACTTTTATCTTTTTCTTTGCAAAATTTCTTCCGTCAAACAAATACTGGTATAACTTAACATCAAATGTGGTGTAACAACTGTCTAAAATAGACAAAACACTTTTCGACGTTTCCACCTGAGGAATGAGGACCTTCGTCAGGACTAACTCTCGCTACTAACTCTCCTGACGAACGCCCTCAGGTCGAAACGCCGAGAAGTGTTTTTTGTCTATTGTACTAGGCAGTTGTTATTATACCACATTTGATGCAATGTTACTTGGAGACGCTGCCATGCTGCTCCCCAGTTATATAGGAACATAAATCCTTGTATAGTTTGACTTCACATAGCTTGGAAACAATGTCGCATGCGTATCAGATCCTTTACAGTATGGAAAATCTCTCAAAAGTTTTATGTTTTGATCAAATTAGGGGTGCGTTTCCATGTTCGCAATTTCCTCAATAACTATTTACATCTGAAAGCGGCACGTAGTCTGCATGGAGAGTCCTGTTCGAATCAGTAGCGGTCTTTGACTAGTATCCGAAATATTTGCAATTATATCTTCTTTCCTTTTACATGGAAAGAAGTTTAATTATCATCATACACCAATATCTATTTGACACCCCCGATATCTTTTAAAATCTTCCTCCCAGTCACTTCTAATGTGCAAGGTCATAGCTAAAAGCTTAATTGGGGGGGTAGTGCATATTCATATGTTCATGTTCGTTCATGTGTCGACTTGGTTCACACCCCTTAGCTATATAACAAAGTCGATTAAAATAATCTTGCCTGAACATGTTGTCCCATTTCCTGTAAATCCGCTGCGACAGTGACATTCGTAGGAGCCATTAGTGTTAATGCAGGTTGCGTTTGAGTGACATTTGGGCTTTTCCAGGGCACACTCGTCAGTATCTGAAATGAACGATCATGTTGAGAGTCTAGAACACTTTTTACCGTTTAACCTCTTTTAAAGGCATTTCTGAGAAATTTCTTCCGTCAAAGGATTACTGGTATGTCGTGTGCCAACCAGATCCCTTACAGAAGTGCCGGGTCTACTTGTTGGGCGTCATGGTTCCTACCATATGTATTATTAGGGGTGTATATGACACTGAGTATTTTTTTGACAATGAAACTGAATTGCTTATATAAAAAGAGGCTTCAGTAGATCCAGATTCTCTGAAAGTTAAAATTTTAGTTTTCATATTTTCATATTTTGATTATTTTAGGGATGCGTTTCTGTTGGAGACAGGCCCGTTCATAATCAATAATCAATCATAGTTAATTTAGTTAATATGACGCATGTCAAAAGACAGAGAGTTATTAGAGAGAGAGTGAGACTGTGAGCATTTGTAATTTGAGTTGGAAACATTAAAATAAACTTTCATTGTGATCTTTGGTGGATTATCTAACGGAGGCTGAACATTCACCAAATTTCGAGGTTAACTTTTTAAAATTGTCCTAATAATTTTTGAAATCTGAAGGCGGTGCGTAATCGGCAATGATCATGAGATTCCTGCTCAAATTATACAAGCTGCACGCGGACTAATTCAAATCAGTAGCGGTCTTTTGCTGGTATCCAAAATAATTGGAAATATTTCCATTCGCCTTTTGGATAGGAAGAAATTTTCTCTTCATGCTGTTTTGATGTGCATTTTGTTTCCAAACCCAACTCTGTCAAAACTCTATTTATTCAAAACACAATTTCATCAAAAATTTCACACTATACTAATAAAATAAAAAATTTATCAACAATACAACAAGATATTTTCCTCCAACCTTGTAAACAACTTTTATTGTTTATCTAAAAAGTAAGATATATTTATTGTAAGGCACATTATGGAAATAATTAAAATTTCAAATGTTACTCAAACTTATGCCCTTGAACTATGCGCAGAACGCATATAGTTCATCATTTTTAACATTGCCTAGAAAAATTGTCAGTGGGACGAGCATCGCACGGGCATCGCAAAAGCGTATAGGTTGGATATATTTCCGCAATGAATACAAAAATATTTCATACCGTTGTTGTATTAATTAGATAAATATGATCGTAAGAAGCATTTTTCTCCAACACTTCCTGTGATGTAATTTCGTCGACCACGCTGTGCAACATTTCACAATTCGTTTCGTTGTCTTTCGAATGTTTTTTATAGTTGATTGATCTGCAACATGGCTCAGTCACACATTTCACCAGGCAATCGATCATCTTGCCCAGAACAAACATACGTTTAACAACCGAGCCTTTAAGCCAGGAGTCTAGAATATGTAAATGTTCATTCATTCAGTCATTCATTCGAAAAAATAGGCCATTCTATCTTTTGTAAAAATGAGTAAATTAATGCATTTAGTTATAACAAACTTTCCATACTCCGCAAATCAAATTTGACAAGAATAAAATGCTTGTGTTAATCTAAGTCAAACAGTATTTTTACCTCAGAACATTTACTGTATGATTGCTAGGTCTCGAAATTTTATTTTTTGTGACTATTTCAAAGCAAGAACCCCGTATAAATTTAGAGTTTTCGGGATGTACTTGTGATCGCCATGGATCTATTAATAGACTGGAACCGCACTTTAGTTGAAACAAGTTTTGTCAATTCACGATTTTTAATCTATTTCATATTAGCTATACAGTGCAAACCCATATTAGGGCATATACGATGAAATGTCATAAACGATAAAACTACTTAAAATATGTATACTTTCAGGCATCGAGTGCTTCTCGGTAAGTCAAAGCAGTTAAATTTCATACTATGAGACTTGCATATTGCTATATTCTTGTTTATCATGATGATTTTTTGAGCACACGTACCATAGTGCTGCGGTTTCATCCAATGCGAATGCGCAATGGTTCATATTTGCAATTGTGTGGACGTTGCTCGCGTCAGCTAAATGCATACGTTTAGTCAAAAGGGAGAGAATTTTTGTCAGCATAACCACGATATAATATTATTATGTTTATCAGAAATAAATATAGCTAAACAAGATCAAGTTTTTTGACACGCAATATTGCCATTATCTGAAGACTACCCAAGAGGTGACTGGTGGGAGATAAAGGCACTTCGTGTATTTACTCGCAGCATTTCACTTACAATTATTTGTAATTCTAGTATACTATTCATAATATGCTTCAAACGATAAAAGCGTTTCAACATTTTACTTTATAGGCCTATATCGAAAGATATAGTCACCTTCCAGAGTTGAGTTGTAACAAATGACAACTTCCCTCTCCGAATCTGTTCCTTTCAGAAGTATGCAGGAAATGAATATGAATAACCAGAGATTCGCCATTGTTTCCTCTTATTATTGTGTTCAATTTATTCACCTATAAAAAATTTGTCATAGCGGTGAATACAGGCAGAGCTAACCCTTGGGTTACAATGCAAATTTTATTGCGTTAGAATGTTTGGGCCGTACTGTACTGCAAAAATGTATAAAGTCAAAAAAGGAATAAAAAATATATAATTGTTCGCTTGATGGATAAATGTAGCACTGAATATGTAGCTACATGAAAAGGTTATACAACTAATTTAACCTTTAAACCTATATAATTATTAATCTATAAACCCACATAATCTATATAAAACCTTTTTTCTATAAACTTAGAATCAAATCATTAATCATGGACCTATAATCTATAAATCTATAAATCTATAGTCTATAAACCTATATATTATCTATAAACCTACTGGGTGTCCCAAAAAAAAGTACCTATTTTTAATTCAACATAACTTATAAACGAACAAAAGAATTACAATCAAATAATCCATGTGTAGTTGAGTAATGTCTAACTTAAAGTTTGATATATTGCATATGAAGTTTGAGCGTGTAGTTTCTGAGATATTCGCGTTTAAAATCGCAGCAAAGTTTTGAAATGTGTCAAAAATCAGCAAAAAATGGCTTGTCAAACGCAACAATCCGGTATCTACAGGGGCAATTTCCTGGTCGACTCATGAGTAAACGCGGCGATTGGCCACGGCCTCCACGCTCCCCTGACCTGACCTGACGGTGTGTGATTTCTTCCTCTGGGGCTATTTAAAGCAGCAGATTTGGGAAGTTCCTCATGACCAACAACCTCAAAACTTGGGAGAACTTCGCCAGGCGATTGTTAGGTCATGTCGCAATTTGGACGCCCACATGATTCAAAGGTCTTTTGATGGCATGCTGACACGGGAAGAAAGTGCGTTGCTGCTGGTGGACATGAATTTGCAGATGAATAAGAACAAGTAAAAAACAATTTAAAAAAAAACAACTAAAAAATAAGTTACAAGACACCATGTTACGAACCGGTATTGTTGAAACAAGTTTAATAGGCCATTTTTTCCTGATTTTTGACAAGTTTCAAAACGTTGCTGCGACTTTAAACGCAAATATCTCAGACACTACTCGTCCAAACTTCATATGTAATATATCAAACTTTAAGTTAGACATTACTCCACTTAATATGGATTATTTGTTTGGCATTCTTCAGTTCGCTTACAAGTTATGTTGAATTAAAAATAGGTACTTTTTTTGGGACATCCGGTATAATTCATAAAACCTATATAATCTTTAAACTTAAAATCAAATCATGCATGAATGTATATAAATCTATATATTATAATCTATAAACGTATATAATCTGTAAACCTATAACCCATAAAACCTAGCTATAATCTATAAACTATATAATGAAATCATGAGCATATAATCTATAAATTAATCTATAATCTATAAACGTATGACCTATAAAGCTATTATCAAATCATGGGAGGTTTTTAACTGATAGCTACCTCCATTAGGACGGTAATTTTCTTATCTCTCTGACAACATTTTTCCTTTTTAAACAAATAAATTTATACAATTTGTGATCTAGGTTCTGCTCGACTTACATCTTTCTTACACATTTTTCAATAAATTTATTCATTTTCTATATATGAACCTATCAGGGACCGCGAATATTTTTTACTTCGCTCAAATTTACAAGCAATATTTTTAGCAATTTGTATTTTTTGCTTACAAGTATATGCAGTGCATCTTATCTTAAATACTATCGTAACTTTTACTGCTTCAACGTATATTTCAATAAAACACACAAATGAGTTTTCTATTTTCCAACGATATCTGTCGTAATAAATCCTCCATGTTAAAAAATGGATTAAAATTAGTTATGTTCAGTACATATGTTTGGCCGAAAAAAATACAAAGAGACAAAAAAGTATATCTACTATTTCCCAATAATTCTTAAATGGAGAGGCATTTGCGCTATTTCAGAGGCCTATAATTCAAAATTGTCCGGGGGGGGACCAATTGCCAGAGCCCCATGCAGCAATACGAAAAACGCTCAGCGGTCCCTGTCCTATATATTATTTAAATCATGGGAGGTTTTAACTGCACAATACCCCATTTTTACTTCCAGTGAATTGAAACAATATTTCCTTCTTGCTTTTTTTCCTTAACCACTTTTATCATTCTGAAAGTAAGCTAGGGTTATTCTTATCGTCAGTACAAGGCATTTGAGAGACTAACATAATGTATAGCTCCTATAGTATGCCCTCGTATGAAGCATGACGCTTTGCATATAACACGTATAATTCATATTGTTTACTGCTCGTGGTTTTTAAACATACGAAAAATATTAATGATATATTCGCAAGTCGTAACTTTTGTGCAGTAAATTCTTCCAGTACAATCGACACTTTAAAACGCTATATACGAATAGAAGATTACGACTTTACTTTCAGGGAAAATTCGTCTCACATTATTTCCTCTTAGCTTTCAATATTATTAAAACACATGCACGTCGTATCTACACAAAATGAAAATGCCAGCTGCATGCATGCAAGATAAAACCTCCCGCTTTACTTATCTCTTTAAAGAATTATATATAATAATTACTAAAGATTCAAAGGGTCAATTTCGAGTAGAATTGTACACACTTCAAATTCAAGTCAGATGGAAAACTAATGGGAAAATGAGTCGTTCCTCCGGCAGGAATCGAACCTACGCTTTCGCTCTTGCCACTGAGCATTGCATCGGCATCGCAAAAGCGTAGGTTTGACTCCTGCTAGTTGACTCATTTTTTCATCAACTGTTCCTGGCTTGAATTTGAAGTGTGTATAATTCCACATGAAATTATTCTAAAATTTACCTCCATTGAGTGAAGTGCCAAAATCATAACCGATTTATAATCATAACTGTCTCAACGCAGCAAATGTATTTTTCCCTTTTTGTTATACACATGCACATGCATAGACTTAAATTTGATCGCCGACTTTTCTCGAAGTATCTATTGATTGTTGTGCTAAATATAGTTCATGAGCAAAATACTAAATATGGCAAACGTCAAACTGCTAATATACTATACCTGCACTATCTTAAAGTGTGCAGTAAATTCGCTAAATTACAAACGTTCTGCATAAAACTCTTGATGTTCAGCAGTAATGTAAGAAGGCAATATAGACTTTTTCTGATGTATTTAGTAAAGCAGCAAATTCAGCTTTACCGTAGACTATGTGTTTCACGTTCGCCTCATAAAATTTTATGCTCGTGAACGGCTGTGGGTGTATGCAGTCGTTCTAACATGAAGTTTCACACGGCGAACGTGAAGCTAAATTTGCTGCTATTTATTTCTATATACAAAATTACAATATTTTATTGCTTTTCGCACTTGCTGTGGTGCACGCGCAAAATGAGTCGTTTAGTTTACTTTGAGTAGATTTTTAGCTTACTATATGTACTCATATTAGCCATGACTGAATATATATCATAAATGCTCCGATAAAATAAAATTACTTGACGTATTTGCGTACGAGTTTTAAGTACTGTATGACGTCTAGCTTCTAGCAGGTGCTAAAGGTGTATTTATACATATAAACATCGTATTTTCTATATTTATATATGCATGTTCAAATTAAACTAAGAAATATGCAAACATATATTTTTGCGCAGTCTCTATTCACATGTTTGTAACCTAAAAATATATCAGTTGGAAAATTCTATGTCTCACAGCAGCGTGCATAAAACAAAACAAGTCTAGACTAACATGTACAAGAAGAAAAGGTATCATGTAAAACAGGTGTATCAGACATGCATGCAGGTGATACAATAACGTTCAGTAAACCGTAGGAAATTGGAATGAATAACACTTGACATCCCACGTAATGAAATGCAAATGAACGAGATGTAGAACAGGGTCACGAACTAAGGCCTACACAGACAGGGCGCGATTTTTCAAGCTTTTATTTTCCAAAAGCAAATAAATATTATCCTATCATAATATGGTTGCAAATTACATAACGATAATACATTATTTTGTTCACTGCTCCGGCGTCCATAGATTCCAATTTTGCTTCCGGAATTTAATTGATATATGCTTCTGAAACTTGAAATTTTGGTTTGTGCATGTGGGCCTTTAATGAAGATTTAGAAGCGGTTTTTGAAGCATACAAAACTACTGATAGGATATAATGTATTCATTACGACCCATCTGGCATGAACGTTTTGGCGTACTAATTTATCCTCGAATTTAGAGTGTGAAGGAACCTTATATAAGGAATGGGGGATGTCATATATAACATACACATGCATGTATGTATGCATGTTGTCTCACACCAGTGTTCCATGCATGCTGTGATCCATGTTAGGCCGGACATTGTTCTTTTAGCCGTAACACTCCGCCGGAAGAAGCAAATAATTTTCTTATAATTGCACAAACATAAATCCATTCTTTATAAAGCCGGTTTTCAACTGGGAGGACTTTTTGGATCGAACGAAATTTTTCGCTCGATTTTCTTTTCCAATGTGAGGAGAAATCCGCTACGATCGAATTCTCACAATTAAAAAGAAAATCGAGCAAAAAATTTATTTTCAATTGTGAGAATTCGACCGTTGCGGATTCCCTTCACCTGTCACAATTGAAAAGAATATCAAGCGAAAAATTTCGTTCGATCGTAAAATTTCGCTTGGTGGAAAAGGATTAATTCACTTGTTTTCGTCCACGTAAATCGCACGTGAAATAGCATCTACAGAATTTATGCATGGGAATAAACAGGTCATGAAGCATGCAGATGGCCGTTACTTGTTATCGCGCACGTACGGTAAATTAGTTAAACGCGCCTACGTTTTTACCTATATGTTCAAAATCCCGTTCATCAAAGCATGCCAAATGCACAGAATATTATTTCCTTTCATTTTATCACACAGACAACAAAAAATATGTCAAGCGTGTAGAAAAATGAGAAAAACATACTAACTAAAGCCCATCCCGCACACGAGAGCTATCAGCTGAGCTAACGACCTCGCGAGGCAGTTAGCTGACTTAGCTCAGCGCGACAACCATCCGCACAGGTGAGAAACTTGCCTCTCGAGGCGAATTACTCACGAAAAATATCCCGCACACGAGAGTAACTTGGTGAGCTAACAGGCTCGCGAGGTCTTTAACTCAGCTAATAGCTCTCGTGTACGGCGGGATTAAAGCTCCTACTTTCATTGATTATACTTTCAAAGTGATCATTACTGTTGGACTAAAACGTACATTAGCAACTTGAACGAAACTATAGTAATTAAAAGCGTTTATGAGAAACGATACCTTTAATCCAAGGAAGTATAAAGTGAACTTATTTCAATACCTGACGATCACAGACGAATGTTGAATATTGAGTTAAGAAAAGCCGAAATTTCCAAGTAACAACTTTTAATTCAGAAGTAAAGTAGTCGAAAATAGACGGAGTTCTTTTAGTTTCACCTGTCAAGCTTCGTCTTACCAAGGAACCTTGCGACAAGCACGGTCATCACGACAATGAGGAAAGATTAGCAGAACGTTTTATTATTATTAACGTTCTTTCCGGTTGCTAGGAGAAAGCGGCGCTCGTTATTCAATTTACAAAATTACATTATTATCAATTAAGATATGTGTATTCGGATAGTGGGAAAACAAATTGGATTTTGTAAAAACACACAATATATCCGACAGTTTTAATTGCTTTTTGTGCCTTTTCCCGATACTCTTAAATATATATATATATATTGAGTTTATAACTGATCGAATCTATATATTATGCATGTGCAACTTTTGTATAACGTGAAACGTTTAATTGCGTAGGTTTAAACACGTTGCAGTAGTTCTCTTTTATCTGTCGGCTTTGAGATGGATATACCCCAGTGTAAAGGAAAGTGCATGCACGTAGAATATTGTTAAGGATGAGGAAAAATCCCATCGAAATTTAGTACGAGCTAGGGCATGAAAGAAAAGCGAAGAGCAGCTGCTGTGGGGAAATGTGACTGAATGGGAGGGTTTATATTAAGACACACGCCGCAGGTGACGTAGCCAGCCTGACGATTTTGTCCCACTACGTAAATTTCGAGTTATTATAATTATTCATGTCTTTAGAAATTTATAGCTTTCACAGTCAATGAACACCAAAATATTTTATTTATATAGCATAGCGGGACAAATCGTCAGGCTGGCTACGCTACTTACGCCGCGGATCATTTTTTTTGCTCATGCATGCAGTGTCTTGAAATATCAGCGTTACTTTAATCGCAAGAAGAAAGTCTTTTTCTTCATTGTAGCATGTTGAATATTCCGATCTGGGGCCGGTTGTATCAAGCCCGTTTAGCTTAAACGGTGGATAAGTCAAAATTACATAACACTCTTATATCTCTCTTGAATGAGTCAACTTGAATATTATGCACTGAATATATAGTTGTAAACAGTATCTTTGTATTATGCATGGTTAAAACCATTTAGTTTGCTTGTTGAATAAAACGATATCATAGATTTGCTTTCTATATTGAGCTTATCCACCGTTTAAGCTAAACAGGCTTGATACAACCGGCCCCATACGATTAATAAACCACCTTTAGAAGAAAATATTAAAGCTATCCAGCTGATCTAAGATTAAGAATTAGCCATATGTCGGAACCTCAATAATTATTTCCTATTAACGTCTGAACTTGATGTTTTGTAATATTCTTGCAAGTTTGCATGGTGACATCAATAAGTAAATTAGTTTGTAGGTACACCACGTAAGTATTTAATACTGCAAAGCTTTCGGTCCGTTAATCCTGGCCTTCAATGATCCTTTATTTATTTATCCGTTATTTACTGATCCTTTATTGCACTGATAAAGGCCCAGGTTAACGGACCGAAAGCTTTGAAGTATTAAATACTCACGTGGTGTATACCTACAAGCTAATTTACCTTTTGATGCTTAGCATTCTAACTCATTCTTTTTCCACAGAAAGGTTTTTAGTCTATATTTTACACAGAGTTGCTTCCCTCGCACTATCCCTTTCCGTAAAGTAGAGCAGCTGCATGCACGGAGACGTATTTATACCCACGGTTACTGATAGCATATTTTAAGGCCAAAAGTTTCTTTCCCGCACAAATTACAAAAATAGTGTGTTAACTTTGCATGCATAAATATATTTTCCAAGTCAACAACGTTTCGATGCGAAACATCTTATTTTTATTAATAAGTATGAGATGTTTCTAACTGTTATGATGAATAATTATATTCTCTCCCAACCCTTATGTTACAAAGAAACTCTCTCTCTGGCTTTTAATGATTCAGTTGTCAGGATGTATATGATACTTTTTACTCGTAATATGAAAACGAAATGCAGCTTCGTCGCTTTTAAGAAACAACTATAATTTGTTATCGCAAATTCAACGATGTTAGGGATTATTTCAGGATATTTAGGATTACCTTGGATTATTTCGATCAAACAAATTTTTCTCTTAATCTTTTTGGATTGTGAGAATTATTCGACATGCAGTAGAATATATACCGTAGTTCAGTCAAACTTGTAGAAGAATCAGCCGAAACGTTTCGCGTGGGCAGTGGGCTGTATCCACGGGGACAAAGTCATTAATGGATGAAATGGAAATTTGTGTTCAATTAGTATATGATTAGGCAATATTGTTTATTTAAGTAATTATTCAGCCAAGCAAGTGAGCTAAGAATGCACCTGTTTTAAGGCATCGCGTTTAAATATTAACAAGTTTCGCATGTCTGTAACCCCACGCGTGCAAAATACTTTAAAGCTTATATTTTTTAAATATTTTCTCAACCCTTTTTCTTCAGCTGTGCCCGTTTTCTTTTTAGTTAAAGTAGACAAACCAGTTCTGCACATCAGTTTTGCTCATAACAATTAATGTGAGGTCCTCCAAATTTTGAATGTTTTCGAATTTTTCTCATCAAAAACGCTACAAGTTCATATTCATCAGATGGCATAGCAAACCTAAATATTTTTAGATATTCAGAAAGCACAACGTATTTCGAAAACTATGGAACTATAACAGAGGTTCAAAATGTAAATAAACCGTTTGTTTACATACGGACTTGACTTGACTTCCATTTTAAAGTCTCGCAGTTGCCTCGTTATCAGTATACGAATAATTATTTGCAATATACAAAAAGTTTGCGAAATGTCCCCGACGTTCGTTGCTGACGTTCTCAAACTCCTAAGAAGAGTATTTTTTTTCGACAAAAAGTTCCGTTTAGTGACTAAAATTTTTTAACTTTATACAGGGTGTATCAAAAAAAAGGTAATCCAACTTCAACAAGCTATTGTACATGAACTACTCAGTGTATGAGCGAATTGTTTTCACATTCGGAAAGATCAGGCTTTTAACTATCGGATGACATGTTTTTAATACCAAATGGTGAAAAAATGAGCAAATACGAGGCTGATAAAAAATGTTAGTCGCAATCGCATATTTTCACCTTTGAGCCTAATTAAAGCAGTGCATAACAAAAGAAAAAAACAATTAATCACGAACATGTCACAGCTTGCACTGGTTTTACGCCGCATTGCTTGGAATGTTTTCCTTATTCCTACTTAATATGCATATGCGGGTAGCTTATTCAAAAGCAAAATTCTTCAATTAAGTCCCAAAGAGAGTTAATTTTCAATGGTTTTAGTCCCAACTCTCAGAGGTGAAAATATGCGATTTCGACTAACACTTTTTATCAGCCTCCTATTTGCTCATTTTTTCACCATTTGGTATCAAAAACATGTCATTCGATAGTTAAAAGCATAACCTTTCGGAATGTGGAAAAAATTCGTTAATAGAATGAGTAGTTCACGTACAATAGCGCACCAAAGTTGGATTACCTTTTTTTTGATACACCCTGTATAAGTTTGGTTTTCATATGTCGTAATTCATCGACGATGTTCTAGGAGCTATTGTCACTGACCAATGGAGTGAATAATTTTTACGATAGACAAAGCATTTTATGCTTTAATAACCTATATTGACGAAATACATCGCGGATGAATAACGATATTTATTTCATTTAAAGTCTCACGGTTGCCTTGTTATCATGCGGTATGAATAGTTATTTGCAAAAATCAAAAAGTTTGCGAAATGTCACTGACGTTCGTTACTGACGTTCTCAAGCATTTGTTTTGGCTCGTCTGGAAGTTGCTAATAACCATGGACGTGACTATATTTCGGCATATTTGACCTTTACTATTCATTCTTTTTATCACCAAGGTTGGGTATACCATATAACATAATCCCGTATGTTCGACCTTTCCTTTTTTATTACTAAGGTCGATACAATTACTTAATGGTTTTTCTTAACTCGAGATTGTTTGCTCCCCCACTTCTTCATCGTGACTTAACTTAACCCGCAGTTGTTTTATGAAATAACAACGACAAGGCCTGAATTTAAATATAAATTATTTAAAACATTAAATTTCCGTGTTTGGGTGGCCTGATCCAAACACGGGCTTCGACCAATCAGAACATGCGTTATGTACATGTTATTCTATAAACCATATTACCTTATATTCGACCATCAATAATATTTTTACTAAAGTGGAGTATACCATAATAATGACCATATATTTATCTCCAAGGTCGAATATACTATGTAAGGCCCTGTAAATATTAAGTTATTATAGTTCTTATACATGAAAACATGCAGTAAACGGCAGATGAATCAAAAACTAAAAATATTTTTCGCAAAATAAAAATTTAATCATAGTTTTACAATGCAGTTCGTATTACTTACAAATATCAGTAATAAAATAAATTGATAACCATATACTTCAGGTTAAATTGGACATAATTCGGGGCTATTCGGCCTCGGCACAAAAAATCATTCGGACAGAAACTGTATAAATATGTATCATCTTTGATACATCGCTATAGTTAGGCCAGAGACACCACGGCATATTATGCACATACCTCTCAAAAAAATAAGGTACCTGACATTAATCTACTTAACATTTTCATCTCTAATTATCTTTCATTTATCTATCGAAACCTTGCAATATGGGAGTGTCACAATCGTGGTACGTTGGCCATGCAGTTGTGCCGAAGGCTGGATAGCGCCTATCCTGCGGTTTGTATTTTTTTGCTGTATACACTCCATTTCATCCTTGCCCGGCCTTTGTATTAGTAGCCTGAACACTAATAATTTTGGGCACAGGTACCAGGCAAGTTTAGCCTTGCCGTGCTAATAAATTGAATGTAGTGTAAACGAGGCTTTTTAACGTTGTAAACGCTGGAAAAGCAGTAAAATTACAACTTTTGAGGCAAAAAGGATTATGGATACATGAGCATTAAAGTTTAATGAAAGTTATACCGAACTACGGGTAATTTTGAAGCGACTGAAAAAACACTGTTAGACGGATAGTGCATGCTATCAAGCTTTCGTGCAACTGTATGGCCGCATTTAGTGCACCTATATAATGGCTATATTTTAAATTTCCAGCTCTAAAATGAAAGAAAGATACAAATACAAACAATGACGTCACCGGCAA